CAGGAAGCTAATACATGCTGGAAGTTTACAATTTTTTTATGTGAAATCTCTCATAACACTGACTCCCAGAACTGTGCTTCGCAAAAGTTAGATCAATGGTTACAAAAGCTAGACTATAAGCTTAGTACATACCTTCAATTACAAGCATATTCACACCTCTGAATTTTGGTTATTTCCTTCCACTTAGCTGTAAGAGACCAGTAAATAAGATGCACATCCTCCATGTCAATGAGCAGGTATGGGTAAGTTTTAACGTAGACGTTACACAAACCTGCACAGCAGCTTAGGATGGGAGCCTTGAATATAGGTGGAAGCGCTGACCACGAGACCCGGACACAAAATGCTCCAGCCAACACAGCTGACACCCAACAGGGCAAAAAAGAACAGTTAGAGACCTTTATGGAGAGAAAAACAGCAGGTGATTGAGCTCCTCTCAAGTTAGGAAGGTGGTAAAATCAAATCAGCCTGATTCACATGGATTAGAGTAATGCGTCCTAACTGCTTTTGTATTCAGTCTATGTGCCAGCCTTGGGCTTCAGGGTACTGAAGCATCCCTCAGCTCTTAAACCACGTTAAGGACAGCTCTTTGAAAAAGAAAGTAGACATAACATCTACACAGCAGGCACTTATCTGTACCACAATTACCATCTCTTTTTTTAAACATCACTATTTGCAAAGCCATCCAGTGGATGTAACTACATAGAACCGGTAGGGTCTAAATTCCTTTAAAATGAACTTAATTCAGGCTTAGCTTAAATGAACTAAGCATTAAATGAGTTTAAATTTCTTTCTCCTCACAATATTTCCTGTCTGAAACTACAGCTCACTGTACAAGAGTGACTTAAAAATTAGTTCACTATGAGCAATTATTAACACTTCACATTGAAATTATACATTTATAGCTCTGTTCATACCTGCTCCACTCAGCATTCAACAGAAACAGCACATTTAAAACAAAATACTTTAAAAAGTTAGTTTCTCTCCATCTCTAATAAATTAATTTTGGTGAATGTTAAATAAAAGTATCCTAAATTGATTCTTTTGCAGAGTCATTATCTGCATCCTAGAACAACCGATGAGTAAAAGTCTAGTTAATGAGTGACAACTATAAATCTAAATATATGCTAACAAGAAATCTCTATGCAATACTGGTAAGAAAATAACCCTGCAAGCT